TTTCACAGCAAAATGATGTAGTTGGTGCCTGTAGGCATGTGACATACCATCCAGATGTATGTCATTTAATTGACATATCATGGACTTGTCCATTGCAAAGGTAGAACTGCCCAAGGGCTAGGTTAATTTTTTCACCTGAATCAGAAAAACTTTTACATTTTCATTCATAAATCAATGGTGCAGTCTAGTCCACACCTGCTTCTTCTGTTCACTCTTCTCCTGTGTCTCCTTGCTTCATCAATTTTTTCACCTCCTCTCCATCTTCCCATGCAAATCCATCTCTCAGAAGTCTACGTTTCACTCTATCACAAATATGCCTACTTCGAATGCATTATTCACCTTCTCAGACACCAATATTTATCTAAATTTCTTTTAGTGCAATGGGATTTGGACACAATTTCTCTTATCAGTAGTGGAGATATGCCATCATACTACCACAGGGATATCAGCTTGTGTCTGATGCATTGAAATGAATAGTTGTTTTACAAGAGGCCCGAGTATGAGCAGGAATACATGTGTTGAGCTCCATTCTCCAAAGTGTCAGGCACTGGCTTGAGAACGTGCTAAAGTGCTTGGTGATTCACGGACAAAATTTCTGTGTTTTACAAGGCTGAGCCAAAGTTGCCTTATTTTTTTCAGTCACTGAAGTTAACAGAAGCCCTTGTGGATGGGTATTGCAGCATAAATTAACTTCAGTTCAAGAAACAATATTTTTGCAAAGAAAGAAGAAAGTCAATTTTCATTGCATCAATAAGAGAGGAAGGATTCATTGCCTTCCAGAATCTAAAGGAAGAGAACAAGAATTAATTTCCTTTTGCTCACTGCCTTAGTGTCATTCTGCCTCATTTTTATCCAAATGGCTAAGGACTCAAGCAATGGGCACTTTAATCAGCAGAGCTAGCACAGAGTCCTCTCTACTCAAACATGAAAGTGGCTTAGCAAATATCTAGCTTCTCTAAGGCCAGCTTATGGTGTATATTTGAGTAAAGAACTTTTTCTTTTAAAAAAAAAGTCGTCAGTTTAATGGGTAATTTCCCTTGAAAATGGTAAACTGCAAATTAAATGGCAAAAAGCAATTAATTATTGAAATGATAATATCCTTGTAAAGGTTAAGAGGTAATATAAATGAAGTTCCTGTGAGCACATTAATGGAATTACTATATTCCCCCTTATAAGTGGCAACTGTAACGACCTTGCTAATTAGCTTTTTCATTGGGAAAAGGAAGAGTGAAATATGTAGTTTTATTGCAAAAGCACAATCTATGACTAGGTTATTTTGTTACAACATAATATGGAGAGAACTTGCTCTTCCCAGAGAGGATTAAAGAATTGTTCCCAGAGAATGAATGGGAGATGAGTGAAGCCCACATAATCCAGGACGAGATGGTTAATGATCTGCTATGCCAGTTAGACATGCACAAGTCTATGAGCCCTGATGGGATCCACCCTAGAATACTGAGGAAACTGGTGAAAGAATTTGCCCAACCACTCTCAATCATCTAACAGGAGTCCTGGTTAACTGGAGAAGTTCAAGCTGACTGGAAAATTCAGAGGTGTAACGCCCATCTACAAGAAGGGTCCAAAGGATGATCCAGGGAACTACAGGCCTGTCAGGCTAACCTCAGCTCCCAGCAAGGTTATGGAAGAGACAGATCATCCTGAGTGCCATTGCATGGCACATGCAGGACAACCAGGGAATCAAGCCCAGCCAATGTGGATTTTTGGAAGGCAGGCCCTGCTTGACCAACCTGATCTTCTTCTATGACAAAGTGACCTGCTTCATAGATGAGGGGGAGGCTGTGGATGTTGTCTATCTAGACTCCAGTAAAATGTTTGATGCCATCTCGCACAGCATCCTCCTAAAAAAACTGGCTGCTTGTGGTTTGGACGAGATGGACTCTTCAAAGTGTAAAAAACTGGCTGGATGGCTGGGCCCAGAGAGTGATGGTGAGTGGAGCTAAACACAGTTGGCCGCCAGTCCTTGTGGTGTTCCTCACGGTCCAGTTTTGGGGCTAGTCCTGTTTAACATCTTTAATGATGATCTGGACATGGGGATTCAGTGCCCTCTCAGTAAATTTGCAGATGACACCAAGCTGGGTGGGAGTGTTTATCTACTTGAGGATAGGAAGGCTCTACAGAGGGAGCTGGACAGACTTGATCCATGAGCTAAGGACAACTGCATGAGGTTCAACAAAACAAAGTGCCAGGTCCTGCACTTGGGTCACAGCCACTCTATGCAACAATACAGGCTGGGACAGAAGTGGCTTGAGAGCTGTTCAGCAGAAAGAAATCTGGAGGTGCTGTTTGACAGCTGGCTCAATATGAGCCAGCAGTGTGCCCAGGTGATCCAGAAGGCCAATGGCTTCTTGGCCTGAATCACAAATAGCATAGCCAGCAGGACGAAGGAAGCCATCATTCCCCATGTATTCGGCACTGGTGAGGTTGCACCTCAAGTGCTATGTTCAGTTGTGAGTCCCTCACTTTAAAAAGGATATTGAGGTGCTGGAGCGTGTCCAGTGACGGGCAGCAAGACTAGTGAAAGGACTAGAGAATACGTCTTATGAGGAGAGGAGCAAGGGAGCTGGATTTGTTTAGTCTTGAGAAGAGGAGGCTCAGGTGGGGACCTCATCAATCTTTACAACTCCCTAACAGGAGGTTGTAGTGAGGTGTGGCTGGTCTCTTCTACCATGCCTGCAGTTGAGAGGATGAGAGGAAATGGCCTTAAGCTGAGACAGGGGAGATTCAGATTAGATATTAGAAAATTTTTTTTCACTGTTAGGGTGATCAGGCATTGGAATAGGTTGCCTAGGGAGGTGGTGGAATCACCGTCCCTGGAGGTGTTCAAGAGGCATCTGGATCTGGTGCTGGGTGATATGGTTTAGTGCTTTAGGGGTTACAATGGTAGTTCTGGGTTGATGATCTTGGACTTGATGATCTTAATGGTCTCTTCCAATCTTGAATATTCTATGATTCTATGAAGCTTCTGATAGAAACAGGAAAAAAATGCACTTGAATAGCATATGAAAACTACTTGTAATTTAGAAGGGGCCAGAGCAAAAGATGAACACTGACACACAGACCAAGATAACACCTCTCTTCAGCTTGCTGCAGTTTACCTGTGAACACAAGGTATGGCCTGAACATGATTCAACCCACTGTGGCTGAATAGGTGCCTACTGCTTCACAAAGGGCCCTGTGCAGGGCAGGTGGCCTGGGCTCTGCAGTTCAGTCTGTGTCTCAGATACTCCTTGTGCAGTATTGTTAATACCTATATATGTATTATAAATATACATATATAATACATATATCTTTATTATAAATACAGATATATCTAATAAATATACACTTTGTAGGTGTATGAATGCTGTATACATACTGGATTTCCTATTGACAAGCCTTTTAGAGGCCTTTAAAAAATGAGCTTGTTTCTTTCATCACTGAGAGCGTTTTGGAATTGATACACTGGAAAGTGGGTTCTGCATGGGTTTCTGACAAGAGCTCGCATTACAATTTTTGTTTGAATGAATCTGTGCAAAATTTCAGAGGTTCCAGCTTCCCAGAGTCCCTGAGATCTATACGACACTCAGGGCGATGGGGAGGGGAGGAAATGAGGCTCTGCCTGGAAAATGAATTGGCCTTTGTCCCCAAAGAAAGGATTTTCAGCTTTCCTTTCTAAAAAACCCAGAAATCATTAGCCTTATCCTTGGGAATGTGATCTAATAGGGTGACCTAGATGCAAGTGATTGCTGGAGCTCAGGGAGAGAGGGAGCTCAACTCTGGTTCTGTAGAAAAAGGCCGGGGGAGGAACAGGACGCTGCCTTGCACTCTGTTCTCAGACACACCTACTTTAAGCAAACTGTCCTGCTGAAGTCGCCGTTGGTTTCTGCAAAGGCACCTCAGGAGCCTCAGGACAGTGGCCCAGGGCGATTTAAGAATCCCACAAGTTTTGTGGAGAACAGAAGCAAGCTTCGCTCTCTGCCCCCGCTTTTCACACGCACGCCCTTCCCCGTCTGCAGCCGCATCAAACGCTGTGTGGGGGGGCAAGGGCAGAGCCGGTGCCAGCCCCGCGGGGCCGGGAGGTGCGAGGCTCCCCGTGCCCAGGGCTCGCCCGTCCCTTCCAGCTCGCCCCGCGTCTGCTCCCGGCCCCGCCGCCCAGCGAGTGTCACTGTCGAGCAGCGCAGAGCCGCGCCCGCCGCCCCGGGTACCCCCCGCCGCCGCAGCATCGCCTCGGCTTGGCCCCTGCTCGTAAACTGGGACCTCCTGCGGAAAGCCGATCCCCGACTGAGGCTTTAGAGTAAAAGGAAAAAAAAAATCTTCTTAGTTATGCACGTGTCGATAAACAAACTCGGGTCTCAAACGCGCACGCCATGAAGCGCAAGAGAACACCGTGGAGAGACCTGCTCTTTGTACGTTCCCCGCATCTTCGTTAACAGCATCTGGGAAAGACAGACAGATGTTCCCCTCGTAAATAAGATGACGCTATTAAATTATTTGTATTGGGTGTACATGCTTAGAAAACAACCTGCCAGGGGATGAGCATTCTTGCTGGGAAATCGCTTGTTCATCATCCAGACGTTCCTTATTTTTCAAAGTCCGCTTGGAAACAGTGGAAATTTCAGATTGAAACCATCCACATGTTTTTCCTGAGCTTGTGCAGGACTAAAACAATTCCCTAGTGAAAGAAAACGGGTCTGGGACATGTCATCCCAGAGCTCTGTCACCTTGGCAGTGTTTGTAAGGGCAGACCAGGCATTCCTCCCTTTAGTTGTGGGGCCAGTGCAGAATAAACCTCCCTGGCCTCTCCCACAGCCACCAGCCTTGTCAGTAACAGGACACAGAAGAGATAATCACTAGCCTAATTTGCTGTAGCTACTATTTTGGAGCCTTGCAAAATGCAGACCACCTGGTGGCTTTTATATACTAGATGATAAGTAATAACTTTATAAAGATGAAAGAACATATGGAGGGTTTATGGCAAATAATAAAAATTGTTTCCCTTTTTTATTTCACATTGACATGTTATTTGTATGTGCATACAGAGATTAAAAGACTGATGTTAACAACAACAGCATTATATCTAGTAAGACAACTGTCCTTCATAAATGTGCCAACTTCTGTTCATGAGTTGTCAGTAAGAGAATTTAAAAAAATTACCATCATGAGAACCACCATTAAAATAAATATTAATCATAATATAGTATTGGAGTAGAAGTGGAGAAAACATCTTTTAGTTAGAGCTAACTTTACAGGCCAAGATTCAGGTTTGGATGTAACAGTCAAAATCTCAGGAGTCTAGTTCCATGCATAGAAGAAAACATGAAATTTGTTTGACTTAGAAGGACACTATATGGATTTATCAGGATCTGGTCACTTGAATTTGTTTTCTTACATTCTTTTGAGAAATTTGCAGGTGTTAGAGTTGCGGTTCTCTTTTTCTTCCCATTTAGCTGACTTTTTTTTCCCCAGCTGCTGCAGATTGGACATAATTTCAGGCAAATACATTAATTATCAGATTATTTCCCTAACAGTACTTGTCTGTTTGGTTTTTTAGCGACTGTATTTGAATAATTGGGTTGACTTTCTGTTGCTCCAAGTACATAGCATCAACTCTATTGTTCTACTTACTCCTTTCTTTTTCATTTAAAATCGAGTACAGACATGACCTGAAGATCCAGTTTTGTAAGATGCTCAGAACCATGTTGGTGTGATCACTCTCCTGCAGACCACACAACAGAAAACACATGGTGACTTGAAAGATAAAAACCTCTTGATTCTTTTTCTGGTCAAAGACTGAAGAATGAGATGGAGGTTTGGTAATTTTCTGTCTTTATTCTGCTGTGCTGATTAGCTCCATCAAATCTGTAGGGCCAGATTAGCAGCATCTTAGTCAATGGATTGTAACAGCAGCTTAGTCAATGGATTGAGGAGAAGCAAAGTGGTAAAATCTATAAGCATATTTTCCCATCTCCCTTCTAGGGTAGTTTTCTGACAATGTATTCATGGGTGTTTGATTCAGTCTGACTTCAAGTGGTTCCAGCAGTGGGTAATCCACAGCTCAGGTTCCTTCGACCAACTATGAAGCTTTCTCACACGCAGATTCTCTTAAAATTCAGAAGACCAGAACCAATTTTAAAACTAGCTGCTATTTCAGTGTAGACAAGACCCTGGGGACCATGTATTTTGTTATTGCTCTGCTCTAAGGAGGTCTCTCTGCTTTTGTGGTTAGAAGAAAGATTGCAAATCCTGAAGCACCATGTGATAATTTTCTTTTGGATAGGTTAGATGTGGATAGAAATATTTCAGCTAACTTTCCCAGTAAAAATACTTGTAAGCACAATGATCCCTGAAAGGGGCAGCAAATGCTGATGCAGCTGAAGCATGTTGAGTTATAAACATTAGGAAAAAAATGAAATAAGAATTTGGATGTTAAGTTATATATACAATGTGTTTAATTTGTTTCTAATCAAAACAAAACTCCTTCTTTGACAGAACGGATTGTGAAATAAAGCTTATTTCCCTGCAAGTGACTAAGTCATGCAGCCAGCTTGCGGGGGCACTCAGAGACAGTTGGCAAGATAAGATGCTTCAGGAGAGATGCAGAATTCAATGTACAGTTTGCATGAGGGAAAGCAGAATGGCAGCAGCTCAGGGAGTGAACAGGCCATATAAGGGAAGCAAATGAACTGCTGTGGAGATGCCATTAGCAAAGCAAACACTGACTTGGGGACCTTGGCATATACCATGGAAGAGATAAATCGCATGAATAAATGCATGCTTGTTTGCTTCTCCCTAGGTTTGCAAAGGCAGTTTTAACTGAGAAACAGTTTCCATGTGTGAAACAGAAGTTTTTCCACAGTCATTTTAATGCCAAGCAATTTCTACCCATGTCTGATCCCCTCCAACACACGTCTAATTTAGGCATATTTATCACAGTTCCTTTATAATCCAGGCCTTTGGCTAGGGAAAGAAGGACAGACCGGGTCTTTAAACAATTGTGGATTTAATAACAGTACTCAATTCTTCTCTTTCTTTACACCAAAAGCACAGTTCAAATGACACAATAATAGCTTAGTATCCCTGTCATTTCAGGTGTTCATAAAATGAGTAGTAGGAGGTAAAACACCTGACTGAATCAAGTGAAGGCATGAGCATGAAGGCATGAAGAGGGTGTCTACACTCATCAAGAAGTGCATAGCTCCTTGCAGAAGTGGAGACCTGAGAGCTATTGCACGCTTAAGGGTGGAGGCTTACCACCAGGCAGAAAGGTGATTTAAGGGGAGGATGCTAGAATGGTATGCTGTGGAGCAGGCTCCAGCCCTCAGACTTGGGAAGGTCACACCAGCTCCCTTTCTGTCAGACACCCCCTGGGCACATCCACATTCATGTTTTGGTGTGGATCAAGGGCGTGCTTTTGAACTGAATCTCCAGAGCATCCTCACTTACCACGCTTTGTTTCACCCAACAGTGATGAGTACACAAAGTGGATTCAGATGGCACTACAGCAGCAGACAGGTGCCAGCAGTGCATCAGATGAGTTCTGAGCACTCATGGGGCTCTTGGTCCGTAGGTGTAGGCTGGACTGAACCTGAAGAAAAAACTATGGAAAAGCACAAACATCATTTAGGTTCTCAACACCATCTGATCGGATCAGATTGACCCACATTACTTGCTAATATAAATGTATACTAGGTGGATATAGCCTAGAGGTGTCAGCTGCATGCATGGCTGGTTTGGGGTTATGCCTTTATTGTCTTCCTTCTGAAGCACTTTATTGCATATATTCTAGCACTCAGCCTATATTTAACCCACTTCTTGGATTTGAAGCCCATCTCCCTAAAGAATATACTTGAAATATTAGGATGGAAGAGTTGATCATGCTAGGTACTTTCCAATCCATTTCTTACCCCTTGAGAAAATATGCATTTTCAATAGTGTTTTGATTTTAAGAGTTTGTACTATGGGGAAAAAATAGGAGTCTTATTTTAAAAATCCAATAAAGTAGCTTTGTAATTAAATTCTGAACATGGCTGTTGTTACTATTAAATGCTGTAAATGTAGACTGAGTGCAATAAACCTCACTTTCATTTAGCATTAATAATATTAATGAACAGTATTTAAATCATACACCATGTTCCAGGACTGTAAAAGAAACATTAACAAAAAGATTTTGCATGTCTGGTGCTGACATAATTTAAACCTGGCATAAAAATGTCCTGTATCTGAAGAATTTATTCAAGTTTCTGGGCGTAGAGGAAAAACCAGAATAGGATATATCTCTTTCCCCCAGAGGCAACTCCTCCCCAAAACTTTCCCACTTAAGACACTCTGGGAAAGGGCTGGATCTCCTGTCTCTTCGCTTGACCTAACGTAGCCGGGATGAGCTGCTAGGTACTGTGGTCACATTTACTCTCGCTGTAGACCAACTCCCGAACTGTTGCGATCAAAATGCTTGATCAGCAGCTCGCATGCGGAGACAGACACACAGTTCTTATCACACGCGCACCATCAGGATATTAGCCCATATTTTCCCATGTAAGGACTGAAGCCTTACCCCTTTCTTTCTAGCACTCCTTCTTCGCTGGCTTTTTCCTCCTCTCCTGCCCTTTTTCTCCCCTCCATCCCCGACTCCACCGCGCACCCCGCGCGCCCCGCACTCAGACACCGAGCCGCGGCAGGCGGTGAGGAGTCCCCGGCCGGCCGCGGGAACCCGGGACACACCACTCCGGCCCCCGCGGAGCTGAAACCGCCCTGCCCCAGTCCCGAGCGGGCGAGGGGAGCTGGGACCCACCCCCGCCCCGACCCCGCGGAGCCGGGACCACCGCCCCGCCCCGTAAAGGCTCGAGGCGGCGCCCCCGTCCTCCCGTTCGCCGCTCCCCGCGCCGCCGCCCGGCCCCTCGCCCCCGGCCCCGTCCGCGGCCCCGCAACTGCGCCGACCGCGGCGGGTCCCGCCCGGGGAGGCGGCGGCGGGGGAAGGGGGAGGAGAGGCGGCGGAGTGCGTTGCCTCACGAGGAATCAAACGGTGGGGGGGGAGAGAGGAACGTGCGGAGGAAGGGAGGGAAGGACGGGCCGGGCTGGGGAGGGTCCCGGTCCCGCCCGCCTCGGAGCTGCCGCGTCGCCTCCGCGCCGGGACCGCGGGGAGAGTCGCTTGGGGCGGCCGCCAGCCACCGGCCCCGCGCCCATGTGCTCCCGGCAGCCGCGGCGGGCAGTCTCCACGCCCGGCGTGTCCGTAAGTAGCCCTGCGCTCCCCGGCACCGCGCCCGGCCCCATCCTGACGCTCCCAGAGCCCTCGCCGCTCCTGCTCCTTCCAGACCCCAGCCCTCCCTGCACTCCCTTCCTTTCTCGAAACCCTGCCCTCTCTCATTCCCTGTACGTTGCATCCCTTGCAGGACTCCGAATCCCCGTGGCTTCAGAACCTCTTTCGCCTCCGCGACCCCTTCCCACCCTGCACAGCCGTATCCTCTGCATACTCCGGACCCTGTTCCCTCTCCGTGTTCCTTTTCCCTGCTCCGACACCTAGCTCGGCTGCCTTTCTTACCCATTGCACCGGACCCTTCAGACTCCCTTCCCGGATCCCCAGCCCTCTCATCCTCTTGTCTTCCCGCATCCTTCCCCTCCCGGGCCCCCGTCCTTCCCGTATCTCCCTGCCATCCCGGACCGCTCTCCCTTCCCACCCCGCTGTTTCCCGGCTCTCCGTCCTCCTCGTCCCCTGGGTCCCCTACACTCCCGGCACCTCTGCCTTTCCAGTCCTTCCCCACCTGCATTCCCCTTTAACTCTCGGACCCCCTTTCCTTCACAGTCTGCTCCTCCCGGACCCCCTGTCCTCACAGCCTCTTCGCCTCCCGCATCCCCTGCCTCTCCTGGAGCCCCTGCAGCCCAGCCCACCCCTCCCCGTCCCCCCCACCCCGCACCCTGCTGCGCCCTCTCGCCCAGCAGCCTTTCCCTGGCATCACCCCGGCGAGTTTTGGTTCCAGACCGCCGCCTTCCCTCGGGGGAAGCGGTATCTCTTCGTCGCCCCCTCCTACTCCCGGAGGGAGGGGAGCGGGGTTTCGGGGCCGGAGGGACGAGTCCGCCTCCCGTGAGAGCGCCCGGGTTGTGGGCTGGCAGGCTGCGGGGAGGCAAAGCTGCTGCCTCGCTGGAGCCGGCGGGGGTCCTACCATGTTGTCCCCTATTTTTAGCAGTACCTCTTCCCCCGATTCAGGGAATGATCTCCCCTAAGTGCCGTGACCCACTTTGGCTTAGACTTTTGGTGCCACGCCAAGACACAAACAGATCCTTCTCTAGATGATACCTCTGGAGGAATGGCGACCCCCCATGCCTCTCTCCCAAGTTTTTATCCCCAGGGGTTTGGCGTTTTTCAGGTCGAAATGTATTTCTGTGGATAGGCTATGAGTAGATAGGTGTACTCTTCCTCAGTAGCAGTATAGGATTTTTAATGTTATAGAAGACAGTTCTTTTTCTTAGTGTTTTAAAAGTAAACAAAACTTTCATGTGGTGCACATGGTTAATTTCACTTCCAAACTTTCTCTATGCTCCCTCCTTGTGCTGAAGTAGTATTCATTTTATTGCCTGTTCATGAATTGGATTCACTGATTGGCGTCTAATCATGCTTAGAAGAAGAAGAAGCCCCTGTAAATAGCTATCAGAATTAATTTGGCAGCAACTGTGGGAAATGATCATAAATTTACAAATGCAGTTGGAATACTAATCCAACATGAATTTAACAAGAAATACACCTCTGATATCTGGGAACAGCATGTAGGTTTCTATGACAGTCAAATGCACTTGGTCCTGAGCTTAGAGGCTGGGAGTTGTCTGAGGAGGGTGCAGAGGGGTTTGAGCTGGGAAGAGGCAAAGAAGAGGTGGGCTGAATGCTGCAAGCAGGAATATTGAGAGACCTCTGTGTTTTAATCATGTGCTGCTTGAGGTTGTGTAGGGGTGAATCCAAAGGATTTGGCAATGTCTTAACTTACCAGAAGCCCACCCAGAGTTTGGGTTCCTGGCACTTCTGAACATCAAGTGGTAAAAGGCTCCTTTTGCACAGCGATGCCAAACAACCTGGAGTGCTGGAAAAAATGTTGTCTCGTAACACTTCTTTTGGGGTGTGTTAATGCATTTTACCACTGTCACAAGGGTCTGATCTGGAACTGCCTTAGGCACGCACTCTGAGTGGTTTTGCACTAAAGCTGTGGGGCCAGGTACACATGAACATACATGTGAATGTACATGTATATGTGAAGTACATTCTCCAGGCATTGCAGGAGGAATTTCTGGCTAGCCAAGGATAAACAAGGCCTCATATTTTTTTTTTTTTCTATTGGCACTGGAAAGATCATGATGCACAGTGGGGAAAAGTGAGTAGGCAAGTACACAGGGAGCCCCTGAAGGTGGCTGCAGAGTATTCGTGGATGTGCGCAGCAGCCTGTGTCAGCTGGGCTGCCTACCACCACTGTCACACCAACCATGGCAGCTGGTACCACTGACAGGGATTGTAGGGTCCCCTTGCAAGGATGGGACAGAAAAGTGATATGTCTTATTCAAAAGTCCCGTAGGAAGGAAATACACTCTGGCAAACAAATATTTTTTTCTAATGTAAGTATTGTTGAACTCATATTTTTCTCCTTCTTTTTTGTGTTTTGCTATTTAATTAGGGACCTTTGACTTCGTGATGGGAGGAAATATCCCCCTGGTTGTTAGGATCCGAGCTTCGTCCTGTGTGAGGATTTGTCAAGGCTGAGAGACTCCGGATTATCCACAAACATCCTCACAAATACACAGTTACTTTTGTGTCTTTCCATCGTGAGGGGTCTTGGAGCAGATACAAAGATGGCCTCCAGCCTCACCTGTGCCGGTGTCATCTGGGCCTTCCTCTCCTTCCTCTGTGCCGCTGCCTCCTGTGTTGGCTTCTTCATGCCCTACTGGCTCTTAGGGTCTCAGCTGGAGAAGTCTGTTTCCTTTGGCACTTTCCGGAGGTGTTCCTACCCGGTGCGGGATGAGAGCCGCCAGATGACCGTGATGGTGGAGCAGTGTGGCCGCTATGCCTCCTTCCAGGCCATCCCCAGCGCTGAGTGGAGGATCTGCACGGTGGTGACAGGCCTGGGCTGCGGGCTGCTTCTCTTGGTGGCCCTGACAGCGCTCATGGGCTGCTGTGTGTCTGAGCTGATCTCCAGAACCGTGGGCAGGGTGGCAGGAGGCATCCAGTTCCTGGGGGGTAAGTGCTCATGCAAGGAGGGGACAGGGGCGTCTAGGCTACTAGTTTGTATGTGTGGAGACTCCCCTGGTGCTTTGGGATGAGGAGGGGGTGAGTCAAAGCTTTTTGCTGGCAAGGGCCACTTGGCTCTCTTGATGACTGAGCTGGTTATCTGGATGCCTGAATGTGGCCCAACAATACAGTGGCCTGTGGTCACTCTCTTGTGCTCAAGTCCCTGTTTTTGAGAGTTGCGTGGCAAGTCAACTTCTGTGGGCCAGCACAGTGGTTTTGTGGGCTGTAGTTTCCAGCAGAGCTTAGCTGGGATGGAGGTACCTGGAGAAGCCTGGGGGCTACAGATCCCCATGGAGTATCGTGGTTTGGCAGAGGAGAGGCTGTGTTATTTGGGAGCAAGCTCGCTCTCTCCTTCCTGCCCCCATTACTGGCAAAGCTCCCTCTGCCTCTGCTTTCTGCACCTGTGTGTATCTGGCAACAAGCTTGTGGCCCATGTTTGAAGTGTGGATTGTTTATCCCTGGTGGAGGTGGCCCACCATCTCCTGGGACGGGCTGGCTGATCCACACTGCCCACTGATGGTGTCATAGGTTTGTTGACTCCATGGGCTAGACAGTGTGTGGGAGAATTACCTCCCCTCCTTTTTCTAGCTTGTAATTGCATGGCATCTTTATAACTGTGGAGGATTTGAAGAATAAGAGACAAAAACCAGGATCCTTAAGCATGTTTTCACAGGGCAGTTTTCCCAGTAAGTCATCACTCTCTTGTCATTGGTGACATGCAGCTCAGCGGCACTCAGTTTTGCCTGCTGCAAGCACTCCGCTGCTCACATGCAACTTGCCCCCATAAGGTAATGTGTTTCCCTGAGCTGTGGGTGCTGAGGCAGTACAGGCACCATTTGGGTATCTTGCCGTGTCTAGTCCCAGCCAGGTACCCTGGCTCATGCCCTGGAGGAGTGGGCTGCAGTGGAACCCTTGGCTCTTTCCCCTCCAAACAGAAGCTTGCCCTGCAAGGCAGTCTGGATGCATCCTGCATCTGCATCTCTAAGGAAGCACAAGACAAAAACTCCACTACTTGTCCCGTTTGGTGTGGACAGCTGGTGCAGGGAGAGGGCCCTGTGCCAAGCCTCCAGCCAGGCGATGCCAGCATAACTCCCTCCTGGCTGCCAGGAGCCCTGCCTCCAACTTTTTGAGTAGTTTCTGCACTTTAGAGCAAGCTGACCCCATCACTTCAGCCTTCCTCAGCTTTGCGACCCCCAGGCATTCCTGTGTTTAATCTGGCTGACAGTTTGAAAGTGCAGCAGCTGCTGGAGAGTTAACTCTGTTGGGAGCTGTGGCTTCTTGAAGCCTGCTCCATTATACAGTTCCAGCCAGACAGCCGGGGGTGGAGGAAATTTTCAGTTCAGTGACAATCTGCAAGCCCGCTTGGTCTGACTATTTTCACTTAGAGCCATCACAGGCTTTAACCATCCTCTTTTTCCAACTGCTGTCTCGGCTCATCTGGTTTTAATTTACGTTTGGCCCCTTTCTCGTGACCATGCTCCCCTGTGTGCCTGTGGAGCAGGGCTGGCAGAAGAGTTCACAGCTTAGTAAGGTTGCTTACAGCCACCCCAGCAAACAGAGCAGCTCCAGTGGTGGGGGCTGCAGGAGGAACCCTGCTGCTCCATGAGAGTGGTGCGGGCTCAGGGTGTGCACCCTTCTCTGAGACAGGATGGTGGCTCCTGTGTCAGAAGGTGAGAGGTCGCTTCAGAACTCACCTTTGCCACCCCTGGAGCTTGTCCAAGGTGACAAGGCAGCATCCCATTCTGCCTGTTTGTCCTCAGTACGTGACAATTCAAAGAAATGTGAACTTGTCATATGAAATGAAAATTGCCAACAACTTTGCTTAAAGTTCAGAAATTAGTTACACAGCATGTGTAATTTTCCCCTCTACTGGCTTTTATGATTGTTCTCGCATTTCCAGCACTGCTGGAAGTGCGTAAGAAATGACCAAAGTGAGAACCCATAATTTCTTAACCTGCTTAAAACCCAACTGTGGGGACACAAGGTAGAGGCCAGGTGGAGAAAGCCAATAATTGGTATAAACTGAGGGGACATATTTGGGTAAAGGTCAGGTTCTTACATCCTTCATCAGATCCTTAGCTGCTATAGATCAGTATAGGTTACTTTTAAATGGCATGACTATATTCTCTCAGATGTCTAATTTAGGCACTGTAATTATTATGTTGTTTTGTATCAAGATAGCCGTGAGCTGTTCATCTTACTTACGAACAGGGAATGTCAGCTCTTTATTCCCTGTACTGCAGCTGCAGGTCTAGCTATATACCACGATGTGCACTTTGAATATGGCTCAGTGGCAGTACAGTGATTGTTGTTTTAATTGGCCTCCACTTAGAGATCTGATCAAATAAAACCCTCACAAGTACTATTTTTAATTGGAGAAAAGAATTCCCACTTATCTTTATATGAAGAAAAAAACTGGGGAAATAAGCAGCCACTGAGTGATGCTATTAATTCATCCTCTGTGTTAGGACAAGGAGATGGCTAGACGGTTTCACTTTCTTTTCATCTGAGTCATCTGCAACAATATCCTGCTGTGGCTCCTGCTCCAGTCATGGAGGATGAGTGTGAGAATAAACCATGTTTCTCTTGAAGTTAGAAACCAGCATAAAGACAGGCTCCATGTCGCTAGCTTAGGGCTTTAGTGGTGTTTCTTTAGTATAGGATCCACATAATTTTCTCAATATGATTTAAAAATACGGACTTGAGGAGGATGTAAGCCAATGGACAACGGAGTATTAGGGGAGGCCCAAGAGTAGGTGAGATGTACAAGCCACTGGAGCTATGGTGAGCCAAAACACTAAGGTTGCTAAAACTAACTTACTGCATTTTAACATTAGAAGCATTTTCACTGCTTATGAAGAGGTGGCAGAGAGGTTTGCTTACCAGAGGTGGTAAGAAAACAGACTGATCCTTTTCTTCTAGCAGTGTAAAGAAGGAATAACTCCAAGTAGGTCAGTGGAATAACACCTGTAAAAAAATAGCGTGTCTTGTGCTACCTAAACAGTGCCAAGGTTTTATGCCTGGGATTTCCCCAACTTGCATGTGGCAGCTCATGGAAGTGAATTATTCATGAGTGCTTATACCATAAACCTGCTCTTCTCATAAAAATTGAATGTCAGAACCTGCAAGAAATTGTGGATCCACGCAGAGTCAGAAGGGCTCTTTGGATATTGCTTGATCTTACATACTTAGTCTACATTTGCTGTTTCAAGATGATCCTGGCTACAGAGCATACATGTATTTTAAGATGACTCTGGGATGATACATGTTGAGTTTCTGTTCCTACTGGAAAGATTGCATCATAGACTTTTCCTCCCATTTGCAATTATGGGAACCGCTTCCATGTAAATGATCATGTGGCAGCTCTGTTGCCATTACAGCAACTGCTTATGTGAAAAAACAATGCTTTTAGCTTTTTCTAAGGCAATTTGGTGGTGGGCAACAAGAAGTAGCCAACGCCCCAAGGCCAGCCTTTTCTGCAGTGGCTGTCAGTGGTCTGTAGTCCACAGCAAGGAAACTGCTGCTGTGGTATCTCAGAACGTGCTTGCAGGACATCTCTGTTGGATTGCTTTGAAGAGCTGACAACTGAGGTGAAAGTTATGCTGTCTGTAACCTCTTGAGGGCACAATCATGTAGATGGCTACAGTCTTCACTGATAACAGTGAAGTGCAGTGTTTCCAGCTGGTTTCCTTTGTACGTTTGGAAGACTGAGGCATATATAATGTAGCTAGAACAGATTATGAGGATGTATCTTTGACCATAACTATTGAGAACATGACAGCAGGAAGTAAAGTTTAACAAATCTATGACAAATTGGAGTCTGTAATTATTGATCTTCCTTTCATTGTTCCATGGCGAGTCAATTCCACTTAAATGGAGAAACTAGAAATTTACAGGTAGGCAGCTCAGATATGACATACTAATTTGGTGAATAGTTTCAGTCTCTGAATGCAGAGCAATGATTTTAAGAACATAGCAATATTTTTAAGAACATAATGAACTTAAAGGTTAGCCAATTTTATGGGAGGCAGTGGATCAAAAGACACAAGTATTGCAAGGATGGTCCATTGAAGAGCATTACACTGGCAAGGTGAAGAGTTTCATTAAAATGATCAGCATACAGGAATGAAATCTTCACTAGCTCAGAACTCTCTTCGGCTGCATAGGACAGCTAAACCAAGCTCAGATTGTGGGTCCATGGTAATAGAGCGTGAAACAACCTGCTGGTGTAGACACCTCTCTGAACCTGATATTATGGTCCTGATTCTAAGTGTCATGTGAGAAGTGAACCCTCTCCCTAATTATGGGGTAGCCATGTGGTTTGTACTGTCATTTTTACTACTCATTGATTGCACTCTAGCAAAGCACAAGTTTTGCTATTCCCTTCAGTAAATGAGTGAAGTTTTCAGCAGTGTCTACTTTTCCTGTCCTCATTTCTCTATTTTGTTTTCCTGTGTCTCATGAGAGTGCTGAAACTCCTGAAACTATGGGCCTTGAATTGCTGGTTGGAAAATCTGGAGAGCTTTTGAAATACGGCGTGATGAAAGGAGTGTTTGGTTATTTGAGAAAAAGGGGACACAGATCCTACCAGCATCTGATTTTGTTTCTGAAAAAAAAATGTGGCCTTATGAAAAAAGCTCTCAGCAATATATGATATTGCTGGAGAATCCTCCAAACGTTCTTTGCCATTAGAGACCATAATAGTTTCCACCACCCATAGGGTGCTCAGGACAAGTGTTTGCTGGGTGCAGAGAGCAGAAAAGTAAGGAGTGATCCATCAAGATGAGGAGAATGTTGAGTGTGGGGTTATGGCTCTCTGTTGTCTGTGATGAAATCTTAGAGAAAGCCTTTGTGATTTTGGGCTGAAGATTTTAAAGAGAAAGATCAAAGGAGATCTGTAATTTGTTTGCATATTAATAGCTCAATCTGACTTTGCAGATGAGATGATACTAAAATGTAGGGGACAAAGAATAAAAGACCATTAGGTCAAAGCATTGTGGGATCATGTAGAGAAGCTCTCCCTCAAAGGATTTGCTTGGGGAAACAGAGAAGTAAGAGGAGGCTCTTGGGAGAGATGGCATCACTGAACCTAAGTTATGTTTCAAGAAATGTGGCTGGCAGTCAAAGACAGTCCATGGGTTCAAGGGGGAACAAAGACAGTCTTGGTTCTGAGACCAGCTAAAAAAAAATCATTAGGGGCTTTGGTGAGAGTAGTTCCAGTTGACTGCAGGAACTAGAAACTCCTGGGAAAGGTTTTTGTGCAGCTGGAGGCATTGACCAGTAACCATTATTTTGTCTGACAGCTGAAGTGTGGCTTTCTGCTTTCTACCTGGAAGACTAAGATCATCATAATTTTCTGCCTATAGGGAGAAAACGTAACTTGAGTAGAGCCTTGCTGGGAACAGGGAAGATCTGAGATGGTTAAGAGACTTCCAGGAAGAAAACAGTTACCCCAGACTCTTTTGTAGTTCTCCCAAGCAATTTCATTCCTTTTGTCCCACCTGCACATATTCTTCCCAGCTCTTCCTCCAATTTGTACCTGAAAAAAACCCAGATGTTAAAAAAATGCAAAAACAGTTTTTCAGTTCTCTAATCCTCTTTAGCCTAAAAATAGTTTTTGAAAGGCTATCTTTTGGGGAGGGGCAAAGGAGGGGCATCTGCTTCTGTCCAACACGCAGCCCTCTTCTTCACCTGCAAGTTAGCTGTGCAGGGCTGTTTTGTCACATCTTCCTGTCACTGGATGCAAGACTTCAGTGACTTTGCTGTGCTCATGTAGACACGTGACAGGGCAGTCCTCATCCTAGACAAAGATAAGTTGAAGGATAGGGAGTAGTCCAGCATATGTGTGCACATATGAAGACATTGCAAGAGAGGCATGTGAAAGGAACAGAAGCCTCACTGAGGTAACAGAAGAGCAAACGGCACTGTTAAATGTTGCTAGTGAGTGATTTCATGTCTTGTCATAGGCTCATTGATTCAGAAATAAAGAAGTCAGCAGAGAACACTGTGACTATTTAGTCTGAGGTCTGCTGTAGCCAAGGACAGCTTTCATACAATTTTGGTTTGAACCAGCGTGTATCTCTGAGAAAAAAACTTCTTAAGTTGTTTAAGTTCTTAACTTCTTAAGTTAATTTAAGTTTGAGGAAAGCAGGATCTCCATAAGCTGTTCCAGTGGTGAATTGCTCTGATTGTTTTTCTTCCATCATTAATGCAAATGTTAAAAATGTAGCGGTAAGAATACATCATTGCAAAAATTATGTTTTCTCATGGATTTTTTTTTTAGATCCAACATTTAGGTTGTTTTTAATCCATTTAAGCCGTGCTTTGTTGTGTTTTCTTTACCAGAACAACCTCTACAGAAGCTGCTTCACACTAGTGTTTCACATTAGTTCTCTCTACAGTTTTCTGTAGGCATCCACCAAAAGATTAAATGCAGTGTATAGTTTTGCAGCTTTGTCCCTTTTCAGCTTGACTTTGACTTGTGAAACTGCATCCTGTGACTGCTTGGGCCTATGCTCAGTCCCTGATTCCCAGCACTACAGGGTACCTTCACATACTGTGGAACAGCACAGAGTTGAATTCTTGGATTTAGATTTGGAATCCATATAAGTAAAGCAGGGAAGTGTTACTGTTTGGGATGGTGTTCAGGAGAAGGGAGTATAGACAGCAGAATTATCCTAAAGATTCTGTAGCATATGTTTTATTGAAGATGAGCCATCTCTCTCTCTGCTGTATTCAGATAGGAGTTAAAATATAAGACAAATTCAGGACTGAAGCCTAATGGATGTTGCTCTTAGTTTATAAAGGACATTACTTAGATTCCTAATCTCTTAATTAGATGCAGCCTGTCTTACTTGAATCTTCCCTCAATGCATGGGCCACCAGGTCTGACTGATAGGGAATCCAAGCTGAAAAAAATAAAGAAAGGGTGCAGATTTAGATTCTGTATATTCTTAAGAGAGGATCCTGTTTTCCATGGTTGCCTTCACCTTGCCCACAGAAGTTCCCTCTGCAGCCTTGCTAAAGACTGCTGCCCTGACAGATCTAACAGCACAGCTGATTGTGAGATTTTCCTTAAGCAGTCCTGCTGAAGGAGACCTGGTTAGCAAAGTTTGCTATTTAAGCTAACACCAACTGTTTTGACGAAACAGGTTAGCAAGGAAGAATTGGCATTAAGTGTTACTGATCCTAAAGTGCAGAATCAGTAGCTCTGAGGAGGCCATCCCTTCCAGTGAGGTCACAAGTAGTGCGGAGCAAGCAGGGAGTTGTAATGCTGCTGGAACAGAAGAGATGTAACTTGAAAAAGACAAATAATGTGGAGAGTAACTTTCATACTTAGCTGTCTTTGTGTTTCAATTTCTGTTTCAGATATCTTAGCTCCTCTGGTGTTTCAAAATCTTCCTGAAAAAAGCATCAGGACCCTTATGGCCTGCAAATTTTTGCGTGTCCTTTGAAGTCAGTGATACTCAGTAAAAATTACATCAGTATTTCTATTCTAGAGATAAGATTATTGGGTTGTGACTTTAGTCTAAAATGGGTGTGGTACTGAGGATGACTTTCTTCTGTAAGAGCCACCCTGGTGAATCAACTTGTTTATACTGAATTGTGTTTTGAAATACATATTCTTTTTTAAAAAATATATTTAATTCTAATATAAATTTTTACTAAATACAGAGGAAAAAAAATCCCCATGCAGAGCTTCAGCCTGGAGCAAATTCTGCAAGTAAAATTTTAGGTGCTTTGGAAGTACATTTAAAATGGAAATGCTGCTGTATTTGAGTAAAAAAAGAAGATGCTACTAAAATATTGAGAAGAATATTTTTACTTCTCTTGTTGTCCTATTGATGTTGAATATAAAAGGGATGCTTTGAATATTGCTGCAGCTGTGTTGCATTTAAGCAGAATTTTGCATTAAGAACAGGATTTTTGATCTAAGAAGTCCTGGAGTGCTGTTTTATTTATCTGTAGAATGAAGTTCAGTTTCCTTGCTTTTTTATCCCTTCTTTTATTAGAAAGAAACAATGATGCTCAGCACTTCTTTGGGGCTTTTCATTTCAAAAGGCTTTGCTTGCATAACGTAATGAAACTTCAGAAAACGTGAAGCAGTACAGCAAACAATCTATTTTGCTGATGTTGAGTCAGAGTAAATTCAGAGTTACTTCACTTCAGGTCCTCTACATTTGTGTTGATTAGAACAGAATCTGGGTTGGAGTTAGCAATTTTGTTTCTACATTGAAAGATCTGGCTTGGTTTGCTTCCTGAGTTCCATGAGGTGTTTGAATATCTCTGGGAACTTCATTTAGGCATCAAAATGTTTCAATATTTTCCAGTGCGGGTGAGATCATATGCCTTACAGACAGGATGGAATTGTTCCCCGTGGTGTATTTTCCAGGATTTTGTCCAGTCTGGTGTTAAATGTCGATGTAATTTGGTGGGTTGGTTTTTTTTTTCCTCATTTCTCTTAGGAAACTCGGCTTACTACGCATTGCACATGAAATTTTTTTCACAGTGTTCAACCTACATTTGCCTTTCCTTGATCATATCCTTTTACTTCTCCAATACCCATTTTTAACTTCTAAGGACTTTTACTTTGGCTTTACAAAGTACAATAAGTCAGTTTTCAAACTCCTTCGTCAATTCAGTGGAGTCAGGCATAGAACTTGAGAGTAACCAGCATATTGTTGCCATGCAGTGAGCATTAGGAAGGAGAGTGGTGTAATTAAGAAACACAGAAACTATCTGTACAACCAAAACTCCAGCCACAGCTGCTTGCCTTGTGGTGGTTATCACGTTGGCTGGCTTCCTGCTCCAGGATTTCCTTCGGCTCTCTGGAATACCTTTCTTGACTTCACTGATGTTAAGCTTTTTATGTTGCATAAGTGTGAGCTCCTAAGTGGCATTCAGACCATATGGAGATGGCCTTAAGTCACAGAGAACCAAGAAAGGACATCCTCTCCTTGGTTTTGGGATGGCTCTGTCACCACAAGACATCGCAGGTCAGAGGGGCAATATTGTGTTTGACAGATCCCTTCTAGTAGCTTTCCTCAGTCTTCTCAGGCATGAAAAATTGGGCATGGTCGGTGCACCCTGACAATGCTGGTGATAAGACTGATTCACCAGGCACGATTAGATCTCATTTACATTGTTTGTTCCTCTGTCAGTCCCCTGATGTCACAGGTACATCTGAGAACAGGAACAGACTTTTTTTTTCCCTCCAGACTGGCTTTTCCTTAGAGCCTGACCTGTTGAAATCAACAGCAGTATTCCTCCGTGGAACCCAGGGGAAGACAGGATGTGGAGCTTAGCACTGTTGCTACTCATTGTGTCTAGATGGATTTGGAGGACGTTGCTGCTGTGTAGCAGTGCAGAGACCTTCATGAATTGCCAGATTCTACCTGATTCCCCAGGTATGGAATATTAATTGCATCAGGACTAACATCTTAGAACAAAACTCTTGAGAGGATTGCTGTACAATGAGCTGAGTCCATGTTTGCCTGCATAAGCCAGATGAAGGCAGTTTATGCTGAGCCATTCACAACTCTGTTTAGCTTGTTCCTCTCTTCCATAACAATTTGCAATAAAATGTGTGTCAGGAAAGAGCCCTGTAAGGGCTGGGAAAAGCCTTGTGCTGGAGATGGCAAATTCCATTTCATGCCACTAAGCCGGAGATCCGGTGCTAAGAACACAGGAAGCTGGGAGGATAAATACTGTAACTTTTCATCTCATGCATAAGAATTGCAGTCTGTTTTGATCTAGTGATAGAGAAAAGTCATTCAGCTTATCTCATCTAACATAGTGGCTAGTCTGATTACAAGCTTCCCTGCTTGGCACTTTTTTAAATTCAATTTGGCTGCCTGTGCCCTTGGCACACAGTGGGTTTCATTAAATTTCACAGCAGTTAGTTTTCATTCCCTCTGTGACACCTTTTTATCAACATTTGACTCTAGTGTAATTTCAAGCAATTGTGGGGGTTTTTTGTGAAGTGCTTGTACCATAATAATTTGGCAGAGCAGGTAGAAGACGATTCAGACACTGTTGCAAATCTGTGTAGAAAACTAATGTATGGGAAGCCAGGTCAGCTTGCAAGTGTCATCATGTATGATCAGAGCAAAAAGGAGCTCCTTCCCTTTCTATTCTGATGGTATCAGTGAAGACTGTCAAAAGTGCAGTTAAAGAGCTTGCTGTAAGAGGCAAATTTTATATTCTTCAGGCTAATCACAGCTTCATTTTAAAAGCAGAGCTAGTGGACTGCTGCTGGATTGACAACCCAAGGATGTGAGACAAACCTGCAACCTGGACTGCTTAACAAATCTATGTGAGTCTTCTTTTCAAAAAGAGGTGAGGAAGTTGATTTGTTAGGAAAGTGTGTGTGTGTATGAGTGCAGGAATGCAGAGAACAAATGTGCTTGTTTTCCTTTTAGTATCAGATACTCAGTCTGTTGTAGGTGTGATCAGGGAATACAAGCGCCCCAGCTCTTGTTCCCATCACTGCTACCTCCTCCCCAGTGCAGAGCAACATTTTCTCCAGACAGATGCTGGGCAAATTTGTACAACTGTAAGTGGTTTTGCACAAGTATAAGTGGTTTTCAGCTGCACTCTAAGAGGCCTTTATTTGTAGAGTGACAGCCCTTCTGAAATGCTAGGCCTTTTTCAGTCTGCCAAACCTGAACATCCAAAAATAATGTGTTACGGTTTCTCAGTAATATTTTCAAAAGTGCCTAATTAAAAAATAATTCAAAGTGAAACTTAAAAGTTCTTAAAAGTGAGCTCCACATTCAGAGGTAACTCAGAGACTGACGGATCTGTACCTCACTGCAAGACAAGGGCAGTCAAGCTAGGGAGACCATAAGTTATCTTTAGAATGAGACTTCTGATTGATGAAACTTTTCATTATTGCCCTTTAGAAGGTATTAGTTCATGTCCTTTCAATTTTACTAATGGAACATCTTTCTTTCCTCTACCCTAAGGTCTCCATAGTGCCTTTGTAGACAAAGTACTTCCAAATGCACAGTTTTGAGCCTCCTTAAACACGTCAGATTTTCCTTAAACATCTCAGGAAAGCTGGAGGTTATGGACAGCTCCTCACCTTCTTTGCAAGAGAGATCTTTGTGCTCTGTAGCTCTTTGTGGGTGTCATGGGTTCAGGTGGCTGGGTTTTTAGTATTAGGGAGGCCACAGAGGTAGTTTCAGTTAGAAGCTGCTGGAAGTTTCACGGTCCTATGAAAAAAGCCAATGACAACCAGCTCCAGGAGGGACTTCTTTGGTGATGGCCAATGATAAGTGCTTTTGTGATAACGTATTTAAGAACAGAAGAAGAGAATGTTTGTTGCGCAGAAGAAATTCCAGCCCGGAGAAGAGTTGAGGAGGACATGGGATAACAGGCAGACTCCAAGGTCAGAGCAGAAGGAGGTGGGGGGAGAGGCCCGGGGAGGCCTCCCTCTCCCCCTCTAGCAGGGGAAGGACTGAGAGCTGAGGCCTCTGCTGCCTGTGGAAGACCATGGGGGTGCAGATATCCCCCTGCAGCTCATGGAAGAGCACCATGCTGAAACTGGTGGAAGGATGGAGCAAAGTCCTGCAGGAAACCTGGGGCCCATGGAGAGGAAAACCCATGCTGAAACAAGGTTTTCCAGGTAGGACTTGTCTGGAATGACCCATGGGGCAGCAGATTGAAGAGAACTGTTGCCTGAGGGGTGGATGGACCCAGGGGGAGAGGTCCATCAAAGACTGTCTCCCATGGGGAGGGACCCAACAGAAGCAGGGGAAGGACTCAGAGCCATGACCCCCCTGTAATCTGTGGTGAAGACTGTGGTGATGCAGTTTGTCCCCCTGCAGCCCACAGAAGACCATCGGGGTACAAAGACCCCCTCCTGCACCTGATGTAGGAGTAACCCACAGGACAGCAGATTGGCAAGAACTGCTGTCTGAGGAGTGGACTCAAACGGGTTGCAAACCCTCTTCCCTGTCCCCCTGCACTGCTGGGGAGAGGAGGGAGAACTTGGAAGAAAGCAGGAGGGGGGTGGGGAGGGGAGCTGTTTGTTTAAGACTGTTTTATTTCTCACTCTCTTAGTTTTATCTTGTTAGTAATAAATTTAAGTTTTATTCCCTACGTTGAGTCTGCTTTGCCCTTATCTGTCCTCATGAATTCCTTGCTGTTTTTTGTTTCTCCTCTGCTACTTTGCAGAGGGAGGGTGAGAGGGCGGCGTGGTGGGTGTCCTGGCATGTAGCCAGGGTCAAACCGACCACAGTGGGAGAAAAAAAAGTACCCACTGGAGATTTTCCTCAAGGAGCCCCGCTTCCTTGGAGGCTACCCATGCGATGGGAATGGTAGGACCTATGCTAAACAGTTGAACTTGATGATTCTTGTGGGTCCCTTCCAACTCAGAATATTCTGTAATTCTGTGATCTTTTTGGACATCAATATTTTGACAGCATTCTTTTACCAATATGGCCAGTGGCAGTTCTGAAATAATAAATGGTCAAAATACCATTTGAGAATGCAAGTCTATACAAATCTTTGAAGAGTTATATCTTCATGTTTGGTATCTCAGAAGGCTTTAAAACAAGACCACCTTTTGTTTCAAGATGGTATATTTCATTATCAGTGCTGATGAACACCTGACTTTGTGGGCCTTCAGCGAGAGAGAAACAAGACTGCTAATGGCATGTGGAATCCTGATAGACGTCTCTGACTATTTATAGGCCTTGATATATATATGCAATCTCTGGATATTTCAAAACTGATTAACATTTCTAAACCTGAGTTAAAGTTATACTTGGCATTTCAATAGTGTCAAGGCAAAATTAATCAGAGCTCAAAAGATATGCAGTCTTACTGACACACTAGTGACAGTGAAAATATAAACCACTGAGAAATATCCTGCTGAAAGACAGAGTGCAACGTGGATTTTAGAAGAGAATCTGTAAAACTGGCTTACTGCCACGGGCAGACTCTGAGGTGGTGTGTAAGAGTGTAGCTGGCATTTACAGACTAAGGTACCAGCTTAAATGACTCAGGGCTCTGCCAAGTTATATGTCCTGTAATAAGTCACTGCAAATCTTCTTACTTGTGGAACATTAACATATTAAATATGCAAACTAATCTCATGAAACAGTTCAGATAAGCAGCATTTTTAAATGCACCCAATCAAGTTTATTTTCAGTCAGTGAAGCTCAGCAAGCAAATGCTTTCATTTCAGTGGCCCTCATGAGAATGATCAAAATTTATACTTGTTTGTGATTTTAGGCTGTATGGCTGTCTGTCTTTGTAGTAAAAATAAGAAAGCAGAATGAATTTTTTTTGTTACTTTTGTTCATCTGTTTTAAATAGGTCAGTGATAATCTTTCCACATTTCAAAAGACGTTACTTCAGCCTCAGTGGAAGCTGTTAGGATCTAGTTTGAAATCATCAGATCAAATAGTGTGCCTTTTAAGAAATCATACTTTTTAGTTGTTCTGTAAAATAGAACCCTAAATGAGAGATTAGCAGTTTTGTTTTAATAACAGCTAGTATCTGTAGAAAAATATAATGGACTGTGTGTGGCTTTAGATGGGTCTGTTTCACAACAGAAGGGCAGTTTAGCCCTTCTATCTGTGGTGGAACTGGCTGTCATTTTTAGGTGGAGAGGAAGCATAAGCCATTTGTTTAATTAGTTTCGAAGCTGCAAATCTTTTGCCATACTTTTGTTCTGGAAGAAAATATCCAGTGAACACGGCAAAAGTAAATAAGAAAGAGGAACTACACAGAATCAGCTGCCACTCCAAACACTAAAGTCAAAGTACCTAGAGAAGATCTAGAAGGAGATGCAGTTTGGCCTGAAAGAGACATTAGACTGTGTTAGTGCCCCCACCTCCCACCCCAACTTTTTTTATTTTTCTGCTTACTCATTCTGAAAATTGCCCTAATTTAGACTTTGGGAAGAGTATAACAGCCTCCACTACTTCCTTTTACCTCTGAATTCAGTACACAGTCACGTATGTACTGATCTACTGACACAGTGATCTGGGTTTCATCTTACATCTGGAAACCACTCACGTCTCTCTCACGAAATCTCTTTGATTCCTCTTCGCATTTTTCCTCTTTCCTCCCAGGACACTCTTTGAAGTACTTTATGTTGTATCCAGCAAGCATTCCTTAGGCATCATGGTAGTGGTTGTTTTTATTTATATCCAGACTACTTAGATTTTCTTTAAAATATCAAAGATTTTTCTTAACCTGTAAAGATACAGGGACAATGGAGAGTCTTCTGTCTTGCAAACAGATGAACAGAGAGGTGCTGGTTCCAGACTGGGAATATAAGTCCACTTTGAAAATAGAATGGTACTGCTGTAAACCAAAGGGAGAGGTGGGGTTTTCAGTGATCTTGAAGAGTGCATAAATGAGAATGGAAAGCAAATATTGACACAGGCCTGTGGTCTCAAGAGGTTTAAATATGAATTCACAAGTTACAACCAGTTTTTTCATTGCAGCCTGTCTTCAAGTACTCACAAGTAGAGCTGAGAAGACAGGTGCATCTTTAATGAAGCTAATCAGTCTCTGAGATGGATAAGGAGGGCAAAACAGGATGGCAAAATAGGAAAGATTTGAGGAACCTTAAAACTGCATAATTTTTTTTTCCTTCAGTGTTTGAGTAAACAGTTTGATGTCATCTCCGGCAAAGGTGATTGACAGAATTCAATATTCTGAGTTATAAAAGTATTTTTATGGAAAATCTTTATCTTCACAGTGCCTCTTAGCACACATGGAAGGAATTTTTTCCCTTTTACATACAGAAGGCTTGAAACTTATTGAAGGTCACATGTAAGACTTATATTTAAAGAAGTGTTGAACAGAGGCCTTCCAAGTCTTTGGTTCAAGAGAAGCCACTGAACCAGCTGTTATGTGCCTCTTCCTTATGCTAGGTTATTACTACAGGATTATATCTCTTTTTGAGGCATTTTTGAGGAAGACAGAAATGTATACTGTCTGCAGCCCGAGCTGTTAGGTGACTGTGCAAACAGTGTTGGTCACAAGCTAACACAGACTGTTTCTCAAGGCAATTTACCCTGTTGAGCTCCTTGCTGCCATATTTAAATGCTTTTTGTAGTCTAGCTGTGCAGAAGGCGTGTCCTAACTGAAAGACACAGCTAATTTTCGTTTCTTTGTGAAGCTTTTCTTGCAATAATGAATAGTATCCCGTGGTTCAAAAGAGGTCATAGCTTCTTTTATGTACAAAGATTATATGTGCATGTTTAGATGACTTGTTTTCAACCTTTCCTGGTTGGTTGACTCCCTAGATTGCTGAAAAGCATGGCTAAGCTTGCTGTGTTTAGTTACCTTTTGTGCACGATGAGACAAGGGTCTGTGACACCTCCTATGGTCTTGAGTCACAGGCTGAAAACCACTGATAGACCATTTTAGAAAATATAAAATTTTCCAGTGATATATTTCTGGGTTAGAGCTGTTTTGTTATGTGTGAGTTTCGTTAAGGATGTTTTGTCTTTCCTGTGTACAAAGAGCAATAGTCCTGTATACTTCTGGCCAGAAAAGCAAACAAACAAGCAAGGAGTGGATCTACTGCATAGATCAGAAAGGAGATTTTGGATCAAAGATCTCATATAGTCATCTTTTGTATCTGTAAAATACATGATACCTGTGCTTTTATTCTGTTATGCAAATGCGTATTTATAAGATTAAGGAAATGTGGATTACATATTCTTTCAAAGTAGTTGTTCACGTGTTTTGTCCCACTTTCTGACTGGATATTTCACATGAGCAATTAATAGCTCTTCATGGCACTGAGCTAACAGTTCTTTGCAGCAGGCTATATGACGTCATTTTTACAAGGAAAGAAGCATGTAAGACCAGTGGTGGACTGAACATGCTTTTTAGGTTGGCACTGCATGTAGTTCAAACCCTCATGATCTTAACAACTCTTTGGATATACCTGTGTTGGGGAACATGGCTACAAAACATTGCACAAAAGCTCCCTGCATAGACACTGTCTTTATGCATTCTAACCTTCAAGCTGCAGGAATCTGAGAAGTTTTTCTTTCTTTTCTATCTTGTGATTTAAGAAGGGATGCTCAGCTGGGTACCTCAGCTGAGGTTGAGCAGTCTCACTGACATATGCCCACTGATATATGTCTCACTGTGAGTGCAAACAGAAACAGGTGCAGGCTGCCACAGCCAGGCTGGCAGCCCCTGCACCATGCAGGAGTTTCTTGGGTGAAGAGCATGGCAGCATGATCGATTGCCGAGGTGTCTGCACCTGGGATACCTGTGTGGGGAACCACAGTACTTGGAAGATGGCATATTTACCATTTGTAGGAGTGGGACTTTGATACATTGAGCAGCACAGTGACTTGGGGTCTTCGTCTGATGCCTGAAGAAGAACTAAGGCATTGATACTGCAAAACCTGCAGGCAATCTTGTGGAACTGAGCCTGCCAGGCAAGATCTAGCACAGCTGAAGTAACCCTCTGGTGTGTACCAGTAATTGGATCTCTATGGAGTTGTGACTGTAAAGAACTGGGGCAGCTCCTTTATGTGCTGTGAAATAAGAAAAAGTACCAAACAATAGAGTTTTGTGATAATGCGATTGCAAGATTAATTGGTACATGTAGTTAGTAGAGGACACAGAAAGAATTTGCATTTGTGTGTGGGAAGAATGAGTCAAAATGACTCTGTACCTGTTTCCCATTATGTACATATCACATGTCTTTAATATTTTTAGTTTAATATTTTACTTCATTGTTTTCTTGATTGTTTTAATTTTCTGAGCTACCTCAGTGTGAAAACATATCACGGAAGATGGTGTTACTCTTTATTCATGTAAGATGCTTAGATTATACTTCTGAAATTACTTATCCAGCATTTTATTTATCTTGCAATCTTAATTATTCAGTGCCTCTTCCATCTGCTTTTATTTAAGTATGACTGTATAGACAGCAGCCACAAAGATAAGTCTCCTCAGGTTAATCGGTTGCACAGAAAGCCTTCTGTGCACTGTAATAAGTTTGCTTTGACACCTGGCAATTAAGTGGAATGAACTTTTTTGTTGC